TCCCCTTGGCTCAGATGCCATTGGGAAGCATGTTTTCCTCTGTTCCCTGGACACCATCATGGTGTTCCTGTGCACTTCCTAGATTTTCCTTATCTTTCCTGCAGTCTTTGCAATGCGATGTTGCTAAGATGATTTGGGAAAGATCACAGCAAAGCCAAGGTGGCACCCATGTACATGGGAAAGTTCAGGTCTTCCTGGTCCCTCCCACATTGACCCCAGTCCCCCATATTGGCATTCATCCCCTACCCCCATGCCACTGGAGGCTTTAAAAAAATCAGCATTTTTCATATTGTTATAGCGTCATACAGGGGTCGTTTCATAGAAAAAGAGCTAGGGGAACTCATTAGCATAACTCATTAGCATATGCTACACCCCCTGACATCACCGGAAGTGTGTCATAAGGCCACACCCCCTGCCATCACTGGAAGTGTGTCATAAGGCCACACCCACTAATTAGTCTTAGTCTTAAAGGTTAGTCTTAAAGGTGCTATTTGTTAGTCTTAAAGGTGCGGGAGTCTGAGGAAGCCCCACGAAGGCCCCCCGCCCCCAAGGGTCCCGGCCGCCACCGCCGACCTTGCGGCTCCAGGGAGTGCGAGGAAGCCCCGCCAAGGCCCTCCCTGGCCCCAGGCAGGCAGGGGTGGGGAGAGGCGGGGGGGAAGCAACTTACCCTCCCTCTTCTCCTGCCTCCTCCTGGCTGAATGAGGACCGGAAGTGGGGTGGCCGGAAGCAGGGGGCGGAGCTTCATCGTGTGCCCCACCTCCCGCACCTCACCCGGGGAACGGCGATCCCCCGCGACTCCCCCGAATCGACATCTGGCGTCATAACATAACAGTTTGTCTGCTAGTTCCTTTAAATGCTCAGCGTGGAAAGTCTGCACATTGCCCCATTCACACAAAACAGTAACCAGAAATATAGGCACACTCACACTGGTGGGCTCCCAGTATAAGCATATACACACAACCGATCCAGTTCCAGATTATGACCCCCCCCCTTCTCTGTCTCACATACACTGATAAAGAGGGAACGCAAGCTCTCTTACCTGAGTCAACTGTTGGTGCTGTTGCGTGTTGGCCATCTCAGCAGGACTAAACTGCCCACTGTGATCTCCTTTCTTCCCCCGGAGAAGATAGGCTGGTAGGCACAAGCAAGGGAACAGAGAAATGCAAACATGGTACAGGAACAATGAGATGCTCTGTCCATGCACTGTGATGGTGGCCATTCTTCTGCAACTTTTATGAGAGCTGTGTCTGCTACACCACAAGCTGCTGGCCCTCCTTGCCACATACTACAGACAGGTTGGTGGGCTGGTGAACACATGCCACAAGAAAGAAGATGCCAGCCAGCCCCATGGCAGAAAGGGTTCTTTTTCATGCTTTTTGAGCCATCTACTGACTACTTCCTCTATTGCTGAAAGCAGCCATTTTAAATTTTATAGCTGTGGACATAAAAAGTAGCTTCTTGCTGTCTCCCTCAACATAGACATCCATTGGTGGATGACATGATGGCCACAGGTATATTGGACATCAATGTGATAGTGATTCTGGTAATATTAATCCAAAATACAGCTACATGAGTGTATTTTCTTGGCCTACAATCTATTACTCACTTGTATTTCTTTGGGACGCCTGACTAGGATTGCCAGCTCTGGGTTGGGAAATAGCTGGTGATTTGGAAGATGGAGCTGGGGGGTTTGGGGAAAAGAAGGGACCTTAGCAGGGTATAATGCCATACAGTTCACTTTCCAAAGCAGCCATTTTATCTTGGGGAACTGATCTTGGTGGCCTAGAGATCAATTGTAATAACAGGAGTTCTCCAGGTGCCACCTGGAGGTTGGCAACTTGACCCAGATAGCCTTGGCTAGCCTGATCTTGTCAGATCTCAGAAACTAAGTAGGGCTGGCCCTGGTTAGTACTTGGATGGGAGACCACTGAGGAAGGTGAAGGTCGATACGGAGAGGGCAAACAACCTCTGTGAGTCTCTTGCCTTGAAAACCCCTTGAGGGGTCACCAGAATTTGGCCTACAACTTGATGGTACTTTCCACCGCCCCTACCATTCCCTTGAGAGCCACTCTACTCTACAGACAGTGCTCTATGACCTATAATTGTATTTTAATGTTACCAGGTAGCAGTGAAGGCTTCACACTTACAAAGCACATGTGCTGAAGCATAATTGTCCAAACAGATATGTGGCATTGAACTTTTGGTCCTTTTACAACTTGGAAAACCTTTTATTTTTCTAATTAACTGCAAGTGTTTAATTCTGTTTCGAACAGGACTGTACAGGTATTCTCATTCTCTTTGGTTAACCACACTTTGATTTAGATTTGGCAGGGCTGCTAGATGCGAAATAAAAAAGTTTTGGAGCCACATCATGCTCATTGGCCACATTGTCCTAGCCGAAGATTAGGGAGTCACCATGCAACAGGAGCAAATATGTCTTCTTGATGTATTGCTACACACACAAACAGAAGAACATACGAACATAGAAAGAGTCCTAATGGATCAGACCAGCATCCTATCTCACACAGCGACCAACCAGTTCCTCTGGAGGTCCAAGAACAGGGTGTATAGGTCAAGGGATTCCCCTGATGTTGCCTCCTGGCACTTGGATTCAGAGCCTTACTGCCTCTGAATGTGGAGGTTCCTTTTAATCACCGTGGCTAGTAGTCATTGATAGACCTATCTTCTGTGAATCTGTCTAATCCACTTTTAAAGCTGTTTATGCCTGTGACAGGGTTGCCAGCCTCCAGGTGGGGCCTGGGGATCTCCCACTTTTACAACTGATCTCCAGCTGACAGAGATCAGCTCCCTTGGAGAAAATGGCTGCTTTGAAGGGTGGACTCTATGGCATTGTACACTGCTGAGGCCCCTCCCCTCCCCAAACCCCGCCCTCTCCTGGCTCCACCCCCAAAGACTCCAGGTATTTTCCAACCCAGACCTGGCAAACCTAGCCTGTGACCATCACTACATCCTCTGGCAGTAAATTCCATGTTGTAATTACTCATAAAAACATAAGAACATAAGAGACGCCAATGTTGGATCAGGCCAAAGGCCCATCCAGGTACTTCCTTTTATCCGTTCTAACCCGACCGCTCTGCAGTTTCATGGAGTGCCCACGAGTTCTTGTATTGTGAGAAAGGGAGAAAAGTACCTCTTTCTCTACCTGCTCTTTCCCATGCATAATCTTATAAACCTCGATCATGTCACCCCTCAGTCGTCTTTTCTCCAAGCTAAAGAGCCCTAAGCGCTTTAACCTTTCCTCATAGGGAAAGTGTTCCAACCCTTTTATCATTCGAGTTGCCCTTTTCTGCACTTTTTCCAAAGCTATAATATCCTTTTTAAGGTGTGGTGACCAGAACTGCACACAGTATTCCAAATGAGGTCTCACCATTGATTTATATAGGGGCATTATTATATTGGCTGATCTGTTTTCAATACCCTTCCTAATAATCCCCAGCATAGCATTGGCCTTCTTTATTGCAGTCACACACTGTCTCGACATTTTCAGTGAGTTATCTACTACAACTCCAAGATCGCTCTCTTGATCAATCTCTGCCAGTTCAGACCCCATCAATGTGTATTTATATTTAGAATTTTTGGCTCCAATTTGCATCACCTTGCACTTGGCCACATTGAACACATTTGCCATGTTGCCACTTCACTGTTTACTTGCCCATCCTTGACAGATCCCTTTGGAGTGCCTCACAATCCTCACTGGTTTTCACCACCCTGAACAACTTCGTATCATCCGCAAATTTAGCCACTTCACTGCTTACTCCCATCTCCAAATCATTAATGAACAAGTTAAAAAGCAGTGGACCAAGTACTGATCCCTGCGGTACCCCACAGCTTACCACCCTCCACTGAGAAAATTGCCCATTAATACTCACTCTCTGTTTTCTATTAATTAGCCAGTTTTTGATCCATAAAAGGACTTGTCCTTTTATCCCATGATTTTTGAGCTTACTTAGGAGCCTTTGATGAGGAACTTTATCAAAAGCTTTCTGGAAGTCAAGGTAAACAATATCTATTGGATCCCCCTTGTCCATGTGTTTGTTCACCCCCTCAAAGAACACTAACAGGTTAGTGAGACAAGATCTTCCCTTACAGAACCCATGGTGAGTCTGCCTCAATAGGTTTTGTTCATCTATGTGCCTACTAATTCTTTCCTTAATAATGGTTTCCACCAATTTACCCGGACGTCAGACTGACTGGCCTGTAATTCTCTTCCCCCAAGTACTAGAACTCAATGGTACCCAATGAAGTTGAGGGACAACATGTTCAGGACAAAACGAAATAGTTAATTACTCTAGGAGCAATTAAATTGTGGAATTCACTGTGGACGTAGTAATGGTCAGAAGCACAGATGACTTCAACAGGGGTTGGCCAAATTCATGACAGAGAGTCCTATCAATTGCTACTAGGCATGGTGATAAAAGTCCATGTCCAAAGGCAGTCAACCTCTCTAGGAAAGAACCTCAGGAGGGGAGGTCCTGGTCTCTGTACCTTGTTTGCTGACCTTCCAGGGCAAATGGTTGGGCACTGTGTGAAACAGCATGCTGTACTAAATGAACCTGCTTGCATGTTTTTACGCTCTCCTTATACAGGGGTGTTCCTATGTTCTTATGCTCACAACTTCATGACCTCAGAGAAGGTCAAGTTTTTGAATTTGCCGCCCCCCCCCCCAAAAGGGTGTGTGTAGCGGTAGTAAACGCCTAAAAGTCTGCCAAATTTCTTTTCTCTCCCTTTTGCCTACTTTATTCCACTGGTTTCTCCCTCATCCTATTAGCACCCCCCCATTTTCCCGACATGCCCCTCTTTCTGTAGAGTAATTCAAAATGAAACAACAACCAACAGCCGCTTTCCTCGTTTCTTTTCTCCACCCACTAAGCCCTCCCTCACAACCCTAGCAACAGGCGGACGCTGTTCCTATTGGCTAACACTTCGTATGCATCGCACTGTCATTGGTCAGATTGCTCAAGCGAAGGTGGGGCTGTTTAATTTTTCTGCCTTTGCTGCGCTTCAGCTCGGGAAGGAGTTCGCCATTTTGTGTACGCCACTGTCTCCGAGGAAGGCGGAAGCGGGAGTTGAAGGACGAACGGAGCCGTTTAGATTGCGCGTTGAGGTGTGAGGAGGCGAACGGCACAGGGTCCGCCTGTACGAGCTTTGGGGATGGAAGAAAGTTTTACGGGGGGGGAGAATGCGCCGCCATTATGTGTTTTCCTCTTAAAAGCAAGAGGGAGAGGATCCTCAGCACTGAGGCGGTTGCTGATAACGGGAGGAAGGAATGGGGGGGGGATTTGCGGGGGAAACCCGATCATTTAGAGGCTAGTTATGTTTAAGTGGCTGTAAGGCTCTGTGGGCTTTCTCCAGGGTAAATGTACACAAGATTGACGCACAACATGGGGAGGGGGAGTGCAAGACGTGAGAAAAGGCTAGTCGAGTTTGGGGGAGTGGGGGGGGGAGGGAGGAGGAATGTTTCTATTACTTGCGCGAATGGGGCTGGCCTCAATAGCAACTAATAAATGAGGGGGGAGGGAAATCTGGGTGAATGAAAAGGTTGTGGAGTGGGGAGGGATTTGGTTGAAGAAAAGCGAATGAGAGAGCCTTGTGTGTGCTAGGAGGAGGGCTTCCGGCGTTCCTTGACGACAAAACAAAGGCAGAAAAATAGATTGCTTGCCCGAAAGACACCCCTCCCCCCCATTGGGGGCAAGGTTTCTACATATGTGTAACTTGTTTGCTAATCGAGATACCCTTTTTTGAATTGGGAAAAGGGTGAATGTATTTTTCTGGGGGTAGGGATTAGTTTCGTTTGTACTTCCTGGGCGAAGGTCTTTGTGTGTCAACGATCTTGGAGGATCTGGTTGTGAGTACTGGCTCAAGAATCCTGCATTGGGGTTGCCAGCCTTCGGGTGGGGCCTGGAGTTCAGGAATTACAACTGGTCTCCACACTACAAAGATCCCTTCCCTTGGAGGAAATGGCAGTTTTGGAGGGTAGGCTCTATACATTACACCCCTGTTGAGCCCCGTCTCCAACCACTGCCCCATTTGTCCAGGAATTGCACAAGCCATAGTTGGCGATCCTGTTTGATCCCAGGAGTGCTTTTCCCCCAGTGAGTGTGGGGGAATAAATGGTGAGAAGGAGAGCTGTACGGGTTGGTGTGTGTGTGCAAAACTTCATCCTTTGCAGAGAGTTGTGAAAAACGTGTAAAATGGTGTGTTTGTGGGTTAGCAAAACTTTCAGGGTGGTTGTCTTGTGCTTGTGGGGACAGGGAAGTGGACTGATTATGTTCGGGAGAGCGTGTTGTGAGTCTTGTAGGACAGAAGGTGTTGTGAATGGGGAAGATAACCTAATTTCTTTGTAGCAGTAGACTCATGAAAGCTTATACCCTACCACAAATGTGTTAGTCTTTAAGGTGCTGCTGGACTCTTACACTTTTCAGCTGCTATAGACAGACTAACACAGCTACCCATCTTGATCTAATTTCTTTGTGGTATTTGTTACCGTTGTTGTTGTTGTTGTTCAGTCGCACAGTCGAGTCCGACTCTTTGCAACCCCATGGACATATTATGGTAATCAGAATGATCCTATGCAGAGCCAGACTAGCACATTGCATTGAAATCAATGGCCACGTTTTGCCTTACTGGACAAGGTTGGACTTGTCTGTGCTTGGAGGTAGGGCCTGATTTTTTGGAAGTAGGATACTGCCATGTACTGTGTTGCAAATATGAGTATGAAATGCTACGTATAGTGAGAACCTTGTGTATTGGTAATACCTGCTCTTGATACTCTTAAAAGAAACATTTATGTTCAATAAAAGAAACCTAAAACAATAGGGGAGAACTTTCTTGTTGTATCTGAAGTACTTTGGGAGGGTTTCCAATATTTGTTAGTCTTTGGGGAGTTAATGACTTGCATTTTCTGTGGTTGAATCAACAGTTCAAGTCTAACAGGCTACTCAGTTGATATGAATGTTAAAAATGGACTTATTGGCTGCTGGACTTCATTTAAAAGTATTTTATTTAATGAAGTTTCAGCAATATGTTTAAGTGTGCAAACTACAAACAATGAAGGTTTGATGTATTCTGAGCAAGCTATTTTATATGGACAGACCTGTAACTGATCATTCCATTGTGCTGGTATTTTCCTTTAAAAAAACCACGAATACACAAAATACTTAATCTTTGGAGGGTAATGTGTTCCAACTGACAGAAGCTTATGCTACAATCAGCTTTTGTCTTTAAGTACTGTAGATTCTGGGAAACCATTATTGCTGCCCTGGAATTGAAAATTCACACTGGAAGAGAGAAGAAATCATAATTTACAGTGAACTTGTTTAAATTTGAATGCATCTAATAAAGTGAAGATGGACAAAGCACATCTTCATGTTGAGAGGCTAGTAACTGGGACTCATCAACATTCGGCTCTTCCGCATTCTGATTTTCATCACTTGTGTGTTCCTATTGTTTCAGGGCTTTCTCTTTAATGTGTTTTGCTCTCTCTAGTAGTCCCAGAGGGAGCAAAACACATGTGGGAAAGGGGGGAGGGACCCAAAGCAATAGGGACAAGCGAGTGACAAAAATGAGAATGCAGAAGAGGGATGTACTAAAAGGAAGGACAGGATTGCCCATAGGAAATAATGGGAGACGCTTGAAGGCCGATTGGAACTAATAATAGCCAGGAATGCCAATTGACTTGCATGGGCTCCATTGAAATACATTAGAGTACAAGTAGAGTTGCAATAAAAACACGGAATGGATTTTCTTTTAGGGTCTCTGGGCCCAAATACACTACTCTGGGGATGGAATAAGAGACCAGAGTGGAATGACAGCCCCAGGGTGTAGCAGGAGTGTTCAGGGACTGGAATGAGAGACCACGGAGTGGAATGACAGCCCCAGGGTGGAGCAGGAAGGTTCTGGGACTGGGATGACAGGCCGTGGAGTGGAATGACAGCCCCAGGGTGTAGCAGGAGTGTTCTGGGACTGGGATGTCAAGCCACGGAGTGGAATGACAGCCCCTGGGTATAGAGTGTTCTGGGTCTGGAATGAGAGACCACAGAGTGGAATGAGAGCCCTAGGGTGGAGCAGGGGTTTTCCGGGACTGGGATGACAAGCCACGGAATGGAATGGCCAGCCCCAAGGTGTAGCAGGAGTGTTCTGGAACTGGGATGACAGGCCACGGAGTGGAATGACAGCCCCAGGGTGTAGCAGGAGTGTTCTCGGACTGGAATGAGAGTCCACAGTGTGGAATGACAGCCTCAGCGTGTAGCAGGAGTGTTCTGTGACTGGAATAAGAGACCACAGAGTGGAATGACATCCCCTGGGTGTAGCAGATGTGTTCTGGGACTGGAATGACAGGCCCTAGAGTGGACTGACAGCTCCTGGATGCCGTAGGAGTGGTCTGGAACTGGAATGTGAGACCACAGAATGGAATGACAACCCCTGGGAGTGTTCACGGAATGGTATGGGAGACCACGGAGTGGAATAACAGCCCTCGGGGGGGAGCAGCAGTGTTCTGTGACTAGAATGACAGGCCCCAGAGTGGAATGACTGCCCCAGGGAGGGCTAGGAGTGTTCTGGAACTGGAATGGGAGACCACTAAGTGGAATGATAGTCCCTTCAAGTAGTGGGAATATTCTGGGACCGGAATTACAAGCCCCAGAGTCGAATGACAGCCCCTAGATATGGCAGGAGTGTTTTGGAACTGGAATGGGAGACCACTAAGTGGAATGACAGCCCCTGGGAGTATCCTGGGAATGAAATGACAGGCTCCAAGGTGGATTGACAGTCCCTAGAAGTAGCAGGACTCTTATGGGCCTGGAATGACAGGCCCCAAAGTGGAAGGAGAGACCCTGGGGGTAGAGGTAGTTCTGTGCAACTGGATTTGCAAACTTTAGCGTGAAATACTTTTCATTTAAATATTTCTGGAATGTGTGTAGCTATCATCACATCAGCTCTATCTCAGCTCTTTTGTTTCCTTACAAATTCATGAGGTTGATGTGAGCTTCCTCCATTGTCAATTATAAATCTTGCCCTTGTCTTCTACCAGTTCCAATGTCCAGTTGTGCTGCCTTCCTTATCTCCATGTTCCCTTTCCATGTCACACTCTGCCTGATTCCCTGAACACTCCTGCAACACCCTGGAGCTGTCATTCCACTCTGGGGCCTCTCATCCCGGTCCCTGAACACTCCTGCTCCACCCTTTGGCTGTCATTCCACTCTGAGGCCTGTCATTCCAGTCCCTGAAAACTCCTGCTAAATGCTGGGGCCGTCATTCCACTCTGTAGTCTTTCATCACAATTCCAGAACAGTCCTGCTACCCCCAGAGGCTATCATTAGACTCCGTGGTCTCTCATTCCCTCAACACTCCTGCTACTCCTAAGGGCTGTCATTCCACGCTGTGGTCTCTCATTCCAGTTGAACGCTACCCCCAGAGGCTGTCATTCCACTCCGTGGACCCTCATTCCAGTCCCTGAACACTCCTGCTACCTCCAGGGTCTGTCATTCCATTCTGGGGACTCTGATTCCATTTCTAGAACACTCCTGCTACCCCCAGAGGCTGTCATTCCACTCCGTGGACCCTCATTCCAGTCCCTGAACACTCCTGCTACCTCCAGGGTCTGTCATTCCATTCTGGGGACTCTGATTCCATTTCTAGAACACTCCTGCTACCCCCAGAGGCTGTCATTCCACTCCGTGGACCCTCATTCCAGTCCCTGAACACTCCTGCTACCTCCAGGGTCTGTCATTCCATTCTGGGGACTCTGATTCCATTTCTAGAACACTCCTGCTACCCCCAGAGGCTGTCATTCCACTCTGTGGTTTCTCATTCCAGTCCCTGAACACTCCTGCTACACCCTTTGGCTGTCATTCCACTCTGAGGCCTGTCATTCCAGTCCCTGAAAACTCCTGCTAAATGCTGGGGCCGTCATTCCACTCTGTAGTCTTTCATCACAATTCCAGAACAGTCCTGCTACCCCCAGAGGCTATCATTAGACTCCGTGGTCTCTCATTCCCTCAACACTCCTGCTACTCCTAAGGGCTGTCATTCCACGCTGTGGTCTCTCATTCCAGTTGAACACTCCTGCTACACCCAGAGGCCATCATAACCCTCTGGAGCCTGTCATTCCAGTTCCAGAACACTCCTGCTACCTCCAGGGGTTGTCCTTCCACTCCGTGGTCTCTCATTCCAGTCCCTGAATACTTCTGCTACACCCTGGGGCTGTTATTTCACTCTGTGGTCCCTCATTCCAGTCCCTGAACACTCCTGCTACCTCTAGGGGCTGTCATTCCACTCTGTGGTCTCATCCCAGTCCCAGAATACTCCTGCTACACCCTGGGGCTGTCATTTCACTCTGTGGTCTCTCATTCCAGTCACAGAACACTCCCGCTACACCCTGGGGCTGTCATTCCACTCCATGGTCTCTCATTTCAGTCACAGAACACTCCTGCTACACCTTGGGGCTGTCATTCTACTCCGTGGCCCATCATCCCAGTCCCAGAGTAGTGTGTTTGGGCCCAGCGACCCTAATAGAAAATCCATTCTGCATTTTTATTGCAACTCTAATCTACTTGTACTCTAATGTATTTCAATGGAGCCCATGCCAGTCAATTGGCATTCCTTGCTCCCATTATTTCCAATGGGCCTTCAAGCGTCTCCCATTATTTCCAATGGGCACCTGTCCTTCCTTCTAATACATCCCTGCAGAAGAGCCTATTGAGGTTTTGACTTCCCTCCCATGCTTGAAGGCCTTCCAGGAGAATCTGATTGGTAACTATGTGGCTGGACCTAGGACTGGTCAAGTAGGAGGGCTCTTCTTATATAAATTCCAGAGTGGTCTTTCCCAGTGTTATTTTCAGGCAAGGAATTTTATTTGGCATTTATTCAGACTTTGTCTTTTTAGAGCTGGGACTTATACCATTGAAGCCCGTGTGTCGAGAATCCGATGTTGGGCTCAGCTTCGTGGCTGAAAACAGCAGATCGGCCCATGAGAACTACCATTCCTAAGCAAAGGAAGGGGTCCAACAGGAGTCAGCATCTATTCTTTCAGGTCTGGCAGCAAGAAAGAGGGCAGGAGGTGGAGACTGTGGACTCTGAAAAGAAAACTGAAAGGTAAAGGGAACAATAACTATAATACAACCTGAAGAGTGCTCTAAAATCTCAGTTCAGAGCTGACCTTTAAGACCATTTGTCATGGTTTCTTGCATTCTTGGTTAGGGATTGGAACACACATTTAAAATGTACTATATCCTTACAAAGTATTCTTGTGAGAAACCATGAAAGTTAAGCTAGTGTTGAAGTATCTATGTTTAATAACTCAATATTTTTAGGTGTTTTATCTGCCTATTAAATTATTTGGTTGGGGCGTTGCTTGTAGAATGTGCTTGCGAGAACGTTCAGTATCGCATATTAAGTTTTCAGTATGTTAATAGCCAAATCATGTGTACCTATCTGTACTATGAATCTGTTTCGGTTTTGTTTTAAATGTTTCAAATGACAGAATGTTTTAGGATTTAAGAAGTGGACTGATGTATATACAAGAAAACATTGTATTTGGGAACAAAGTTCTGGTGGGTTTTCTTTGGTAGCCAGATTGGTTTGCTAAAGTTGGAGATATTTGTATTTTTCCCTGCCTGGAGTTAATAGCAACTTGGAGACAATTTCTATCAGGATCTTCCCTTACCATGGCACTGATCCCGTCCTCCCAAAATGCTTTTCAACATCAAGTTGTCTGGGAAACCCTTATAACATATAACTCAGCCCTTAGCTATACCAAAGTTTGGTATTCTTTTTGCAGAAAAAAATGTGTGGTGTACATTGTAGCTTCCAAAAAATACTTCTGTTTTCTATTGACAGTTGCACTTGTTCTTTTCCCCTAAATAGGTGACACTTAAGTTGAAAATGGGGGGTGGAGAAAGGTTTAACATTCCATCTACCCAGCCCAGAAACGCTAACAAGAACCAACAGCAGCTAAACAGGAAAAAGAACAAAGATCAGAATTCCCAGATGAAGAAAATCCACAAGAAAGAAAGGGGACATGGATGTAGTCCACCATCTGCAGCGTGGCAGGCCATGCAGACTGGAGGAAAGACCACAGTGCATTTCCCGACTAGCCAGAATTGGAATCCATCTTTATCCACGGCACTCTTCATGCCTCAAACCAATCAAAATTATGCTGGAGCAAAATTCAGTGAGCCTCCTTCCCCAAGTGATCTTCCTAAACCACCGAGTCATTGGGTCACTGTTTCACTGAACCCTGCTGATAAAGATATCATGACTTTCCAGTTGAAGACCTTGCTTAAAGTTCAGGCTTGAAGTGGAAAACATCACACATTTTATAGTTTCAAAGTCTGCAGTGTTGGGGTTTCAAAATGCAATCCCAAGCACATTGTAAGGAATTCAAATTAACTGTGAGAATTTTTTTACTGGGCGGTGTAAAGAATACTTTAACATGTCACTCTTCTGGGGCTCTGTGCTGTTAAAACTGATAGGCAGTGCTTGCTTTTTTAGACCATCTCACTTTCGTGTTCTCATTAGGCACTATTCCCTTTTCAGGGGAAGTAAAAATTGACCAAATTTCCATTACAAAATAATTGCAAAAATAATTTGCCTGCATTTGATCAAATATTGTAGGTGTCGAAGAAAAGTAACTTTTTGACAGAACTCTATTTTTTTTAAAAATCACCTAAAATTGTTTTTAAAAAGCAAGTAACATATTTTTCAGTTTCAACAATTATATGGCTGATCCGTCATCTGAAAAGGTGATTTGGGAAGGCAAAGTCCTATGACCAAACGAATTTGGGAACAAAATTTTGTGCAGCACTTGTTTAGTAAGAACTGAAACATGGTTCTGCGTTTGATCTCTAGCTTTTTGTGCAAGCCTAGGGGAACACAACCAGCCTATAAGTGTGCCAACTCAAAAGCATTTTTGCATTGCCAGATGACTGCCAAGCGCTTTAAAGTGTTCTCCTTCACAGTGTATTTCACTGAGCTATATTTGAAATACATTTTGTGTGTTTTTGTATCTCTTACTGAAATAGAACTGTTGAGGCCAGTTTGAGATGAACTTGTTTGAGGTTCGCGAGTATAAAAACATCTTTTACATATGGAAAAAAGAGCCATGTAAATAACTGTAAAACTTTGTAGCATATGTAAATATATGCTGGGCTTTCCTGCCAGAATAAAAGTATTTTTAGTACAAAACTGAATGTAAAAAAGACCATGCTGAGCTCATGGCATGATTTTTTTTAAAAAAAAAAAGTTTAAAAAAACTGAAAAGCACATGTGTGTGCCTTTGCACTTGAGTAACAGTGAGGGTGTGATCCATGTTTGCCTTTCTGAGTTGAGATTTAAAGTGAACATGGTGCAAAGAGAAGCTCTGAAGTCAGAAGATGAAACAAACTTAAAAGCTGAGTGTGCAGTTGTTTTCATTAATTGTATTAGCATATTTTAATGAAGCTGTATTGCATCCTTAGGCTATGATCCTAGGAACATTTGAAGTAATTCCTGTTAATTTAACAGGACAAGTGAAGTGTGCTTAGGATGCAATCCTACTTCAGTTAAGCATTCTGCAGCCCTCTGATTTCAATGGGACTGAAGCATACAACTGCTGGATTGCAACCAGTGTTGCATCATTTTGAATGTATTAAGTGACTAGCCAATACAAGCCATCACTACAATATTGGATGTTCTAAATGTAATTCTCATGTAACACGTAGACCTGCCACTACCCCATCTGTGACATTGAATCCTATTTGAGATTCCTGCTTTAGAGAGTAAGAGACATCATTTAGCCTGGAACTACATCTTTACATGGCACTTCAAATTTTTGGCAAATTAGAAGACCACCAGTTCAAAGAGCTGCTTCACATCAGAGCTTTAGAAAATGTCTTCTACTGGTATTATTTCTGAAATTTGCTGTCAACCAACACATATAATGTTTGGGTTTTTAATGAAATCTCAGTTTTTGTATGGATCACTGGATTTGGTGATACCTACCAAAATCAGAATGTCTTTCATAGTAAACATCTAGTTGCGATACTAGAAATAATTGTTAGAAGTTGGACAAGGAAAACATACTGAAGAACATAGTGCCAGAGGTACTTGGCTATCTACCAGTGAATACATTCAAAATCTTGTAGCGACAATAAAAACTTATACCATTTCCCCAAATAAGATTAAAATTGGATATTGTGCAAAAATGTATTGTGTCTTGTGTCCCAGATTGTCCCATGGTACTTAAATAATTACTGTAGCCCAATGTTATTTTAATGTGTTCTAAATTCTGTATCTGACTGCATTACTTTAATTGGAAACAAAATTCAATAAAAACCCTTTCCCCCATAATTTTGTCTTTATTACTTTTAACTGCTTGTTAGGTGTGCATGCTAAACTGTCAGCCATGGCCATAATTCCGATAGAATAGATACAGTTAAGTCAGTTTGCTTGCTAAACTTGGGAGAAACTTCCACAAAACTAGTTCTTAGCATTCAAACAGCCCTGTCACCAGTAGTAACAGCATCCACATCCATTAAGTTCCCTTGGGACTAAGCTGTGTCTGGCCAGTTTTGTGAAGTACAGCAGGCTTAATTAGTTCATCCAGCACACAGAGCAGAGATTAAATAGCTTGCTGTTACATCTTGCCACACCATACAGGGCAGTTTTTGGAAGTTGTGGGAGGTAGTCTTGGACATATGGCCTGGGGCTTCTCATATCTGGCCCATGAGCATTTGGGAAACCAGTCAGAATGTGGACCAGAATAGTATTATACCCCCTGCTGTGGTCCCTCCTCAGGGTCTTCCCCAAGATTGCCCAACCCAGAGTTCGCAACCATAAAGGATGAGGGTTGGTTTGGCCCCAAGCTCTATGCAGCCAGTCCCCTTGGGGCTGGGATGCACCGCCACCAGTGCTTCCACCTCTGAACAAAGCGTGTTGGACTCCTGGCTGTTCATATGCAGTAGGCAGAATCTCTTTGGCCCCACCTCCCCAAGCCCAGCCATGTGGTTTCCCACTTGCAGGCAGCCTAGGGAAGGTGCCTTTGGAAACTAGTTGGCCAGCCTGCCAAATGTGCCCACTTATAGAGTGACTGGTTGGGTGCACTGTGCACAGTGCAAGGAAGTGCGGGGGGGGGGGGGGGAGCTGTATTGCCTGAAGGAGCCATTGGATGTGACTTTTGATGGAGACCCAGAAGCCCTCCCGTTGTTCGTGGTAAGGACTCTGAAATTCGTGGCAAACTGGGGCCACTTGTTCCTGAACGAAGAGGGCCAGGTGGACTATGTTGTATCCCAGTTACGCAGTGGAGCGGCGGCATGGTATGTCAGCATCTACAACGGGGATGGTCAGGAACTGCAGGGTGTGGGCGATTTTTTGCGGGCACAATTCGAGGATCGCAATGTGGGTGCCAAAGCCTGGGCATTCTTACGCACGTTCCGATGGGATGAAGACTGTCCAGAGTACTCAACATTGAGTTCAGACTGCAGGCTGCCAAAACCCAGGGATGGTCTGATGAAGCCCTGGTCAAGCAGTATCACACTGGTTTGGACCCAGAAATCTGGGAGATGGTTCTCCGGACGGTGGATCCCGTGACACTGATGGCTTGGATGCGAGAAGCCAAGGATGCGGAGTGTCGACTGAACACCCTCAGGCTCGATAGTGCTACGACTGGAGAAAGACACCCCCCCCGCATTGCAAAGCCACAGTAAGGACGGACGCCAGGAAGCGACGGGGCCCCACCTTGGTGGAGAAGGGGCCTAATAAGGCAAAGTTTCAGCAAGCACCGCAAGCTGCCATTGAGGAGAAAAACGCAAATCCCAGCGGAGAGGACGCCGCAAGCCGGTGGGAAAAGGCCAGGTGCTGCTGTGTGAGGCGCGGAGCAGCAGGGCCCGATCTCGTAGGCGCCAAAAGTGGTGAGCAGCTACCCTTCCCTCTTTTTTGTGACTGTGACTCTCATGAATCTGGCCGAGGGGACCCACATCAGAGTAAGGGGGATCATTGACTCGGGGTGTGGGAGGGACCTCATCAATCCATCTTTGGTGACAGGGCTGGAAGCCACGATGGTGCGGTTACCCAACCCCCTAATTTTTACTCAAATGGATGGGTCCACGATGAAGAAACCTTGCGAGTTTGAGACGGTGCCATTGCGGTTGGGGGCGGGGTATCACTAGGAAGAACGCTCATTCATGATTACCCCCACAGCCAGATTCCCACTAGTATTAGGAAGCCCCTGGCTGCATGGACACAATCCCTACATTCTGTGGGACGAAGGGAAGGTGCAATTAATTTCCCCACGATGCAAGTCGCATTTATGGAACCCGCAGTGGGGTTCCCAGCCAGAAGCCGAACCCCCCCGTGTTTGCCTGGCCCAAGAAGAGTTGGTTTTGATTCCCCCCGAATACCGGGACTTGGCCAGGGTCTTTGAAGAGGAAGAAGCGGATGAGCTCCTGCCTCATAGGCATTCAGACTGTAGTATCGAATTACTGCTGGGTCATAAATTTCCTAAGGGATGTATTTATCCAATGGGACTGGTCGAAAAAGATGAACTGTGTAAGTTTATTGATAAGAACCTGGCCCGGGGTTTTATCAGGCCGGCTTCCTCACCATTTGCAGCTCCCGTGCTGTTCCAGAAAAAGAAAGAGGGGGCGGGGTTTTTTGAGGCTATGTACTGACTATAGGAGCTTGAATGCTGCTTCGTCTACCAATGCCTACCCCATGCCGCTTGGCCGAGGTGTCTAAGGGAAAAATCTTCTCCAAATTGGATCTCCAAGATGCGTACTTCCAAGTTCGCATAAGGGAGGGAGATGAGCACAAGACCGCCGTTAATATACCCCTTGGCCACTTCGATTACCGAGTGATGCCATTTGGCCTCCAGGGGGCTCTGGGAGTATTCATGAATTTGATTAATGAGGTGTTGCACAAGCATTTATTCAAGGGGGCCCTTGTTTACTTGGATGATATCTTGCTGTATTCCCCCTACCTCCCCTCACATGTGAAACTGGTGAGGGAAGTGCTCCAGACGTTGCACAAGCACAAACTCTTTGCTAAACTCTCCAAGTGCAAATTTCATAAGTCGGTCATTGACTTTTTGGGATATAGGATCTCCAACAAGGGGCTGGAAATGGACCCGCGGAAGGTCCGGGATGTACTTAGGTGGGAGGCCCCCTGCACATGCTGCCAGCTCCAGTCCTTCCTCAGATTCTCAAATTCCTATCGAAATTTTTCCCCCAACTTTGCCCAGGTCAGCTTACCACTCACTGACTTGTTGAAAACCAAAGGGAAAGGGCCACACGCGACCAAACCGAGTGCTAAGCTTCAATGGACGGAAGAATGCCAGGAGGCATTCGACCGGCTGAAGGCTCTATTCACGTCAGAGCCAGTGCTGGCCCACCCAGACGAAAATAAAAAATTCATCATCCAAGTTGATGCCTCAGACGTGACGATTGGGGGGGGGGCGCAATCTTGCAAGAGGGGGACGATGGGTTGTTACACCCCCTGGCGTATGTGTCCCATAAATTTAACGAAACCGAGCGCGATTGGTTGGTTTGGGACAAAGAAGCGGGAGCGATCCGGTTGGCGCTCTCAACCTGGAGACATTGGTTAGAAGGGGCCCGGGTGCTGTTTGAGGTCTGTACAGATCATAAGAACCTGGAAGTGCTCAACCCCCCCCCCCAACCTGAATGCCAAACAGTTGCGGTGGGCTGACTTCTTTTTCAAGTTTCACTTCATGTTGCACCATTTCCCGGGCTCGGCGAATTCGCTGGTGGACGCACTATCCCGCCTCCCACAACATGACAGCCAAAGGGAGGTGGTACTAGACTCTATGTTCACACCCTCACATCTAGGAGGGGTGGTGACGACTCGCAGCCGTGCGGTCTTCTCCCCTCTGGACCAATTATCCGAACACGGCTCCTCCCCTCCTGTTCCTCCAGGCGAGGTAGCCTGGAGTGTCAGATTTGCCTCTGCCTTTTCAGATGCCGACAAAGAGGTGGAAAATGTCGGGGGGTTGAAAAGAAAAGCGGATGGTTGTTGGTACCATGGCTCCAAACTGTGCCCAGATCATTTCGGGGGGAGGTGCTTGCAGCAGTTCATGGCTCTAAGCTTGCTGGCCACTGTGCATTCATAAAATCCCGGCACCTTTTGCAAAGACAATTTTGGTGGCCACTCATGCGGAAGGATTTATATTCGTTTGTTCAGTCTTGCCAAACTTGTGTCATGTGTAAACCCCGCCCTGGTAAAACTCCAGGGTTGCTGAAACCTCTCCCAACCCCGAGTCACCCATGGGAGGTGATCTCTATGGATTTTATTACGGATCTACCCCCTAGTAAAACCCATGACTGTCATTTGGGTGGTGGTCGACCTGTTTCTAAACAGGCTCATTTTATCCCGTTTGCGTCCTTGCCCACCGCCAAAGCCCTGGCAAAGGCCTTTTTGCAACATGTGGTGCGCCTCCACACACTCCCAGACAAGTTTTTTGGGGAATTGTTAAAACTCATGGGAGTGGAACGGGCCATGAGTAGTGCCTATCATCCAGAAACTGATGGACAGACCGAACGGGTGAATCAAACTTTAGAACAATATTTGCATTGTTTCACCAATTACCAACAGGATGGGTAGACTTGCTTCCCCTGGCTGAATTTTGCTATAATAACATGTGTCACTCCTCTACGTGAATGTCCCCGTTCAAAGCACTCTATGGCTATGACACCCCTCCGTTGCCCTTTCTCGAGGGAGCTACCTTGGGCCCGGGGGATGCTGCACAGTGGTGTCAACAACTTCAAAATTCTTGGACTTTGTTATGTAAAACATTGGAAGCGGCCAAAGAGGCTTACCAGGCTCAGGCTGACAAGAGAAGAGTGGAGGGATGGGCTCTGTAGCCTGGAGATTCTGTGTATGTATCCACAAAAAACATTAAGGTGTTGAGACCCAGCCGCAAACTGGGTTGGACGTTCATTGGCCCGTTTAAAGTAAAACACCTGATGAAGTGGTCGTGGATCTTGACCTTCCTAACATGCGCAATATCCATTCTGTGTTTCATTTCAGCCTCCTGAAATGGGACCCAGGCCCAAGCTCCTGGTGCCCCATGGAACGTGTACCCCCTCCTATCATGGTGGAGGGTGAAGAACATTTCGAGATCTCCAAGATCCTGGACTCTAAAGTTAAATGCAGCAAACTGTTTTATTTGGTGGAATGATTGGACCCCAGCACCGTGAATGGGGGGGGGAGTAGGGGAGTTCCCGGGGAAACTAGGAGGTATCCTGGACTAACCGGGAGATCTCCTGGGCGGGCCAAGAGGTTCTTTGGGCAGGCATAATGTCAGCTATGCTGCCATATTGTTTATGGGCCTGGGTTCGCTTTCATAACCTGTGTGCCAGTGGCTGCCGCATTCCTTTCTCTGCTCTTCTCGTTATCACTGACCTTGTAGCCTGCTGGTGTAGTGTCTTCCCATCAATTAACCATGTGACTAGTTTCATTTCCCAGCCTCGGCTCTAACTGATCTGGTCCTCCTTCCCGCCCGCGGGAAGTCAGGCCAATTGGCCATAGGTGGTGGTGGGGCACATTTGAATACCCTATATATCTATGTCTGCTTTCTCGATGGTAGTTATTCCTAACAGTGAATATGTTCCTGCAACCATAGTACTAGCAATAAAGTATAACCTTTCTAGAAGTCTGTACTCAATTGTTTGACTGTGGGTCCTGACAGGCAAGAGAGAAAAGCCAAGCACTTATGTAAGGGAAGCAAAGCATGCAGAACACTGAGGGCTGGAGGCACGAGTGAGCCGGAACCTAACCTGCATGTGTGTAGCTCCTCTCCTGCATCCCTCCCCTTGGCAGCACAGGGAAGGGGTGAAGCCAAAACAGCCGCTGGGCTCCCTGCATGCAAGGACTGCCTTAGAGTCTGAATGGAAGTAGGGGTGGGGTGGGGTAAGGTTAAGGGTCAGGGACACAAGCAGGCATTCAGAAAAGCACGCTAGGTTTACACACAGCAGAGGCAGGTACTGGGTGTGTGTCTGTGCTCTGGTGCACAGGGAGTAATATTTTGGGTGGCTAGATAATGCCATTGAGCTGGCAGGAAATAAAAATCTGCAAAAGGTGGAGCTTGTGGTTGAAGCCTGTTGCTGAATTTGGAACTCAGAAAAGGAGGTGTAGGATTAGGCAGCTGCCTGTCTTTGGCTACTATATGTGCAGCATTGGAATGCAGCCCTTCATGCTTCAGCTCATCAACAGCTCCTGAAATCTGTCTCTGGTTGTTGCACCTTGATTGTCAGGCTATAGCTCTCTGTGCTGTGCAAAACTGCTTGTGCATAGCAAGCAAAAGGCATGGGTCACTGTCAGTGGTAAAGTATCTCCAGTACCTATGACCTGACCCGACAAAGTGACATTTATGTCAGATTCAGCTCTTGTAACAAATTAGTTCGACACGGGTCTAGGACATTTTGAAGGTAGGTTGTGACTAGGAGGCATCCGAAATAATTTATTGTAAGTTACACTGCAAGGCACCAATGTTTCCCTTTGGTTATTAGGATCTAAACACGTACAACTTTGTGATAACAGGGATACGCAGTCTATTTTACACCCACTGCAGAACCTCCTGACTTCTCCAATTGAAATTTATGGCTTAGCTTTCCATACTTAATACAATAACTTGCTAGCCTTCCAGAGCTATATAGCCAAACACAGTGCACCTACTCCAACAGGAGTCTTCCCATCTCAGCTAGGCTCCTTCAGACAATTAATAGGTGTACAAGGCCATTTGTCATCCCAAGAGGTGGAGACGTGCACTTCTAATTACAGCCAGGAAAGAAAGCAATCCCTATACAAATGAACAATGCCATACACTCAAGCTAGAGTCTGAACTATCTCATTGATTCAGTTTCATAGGGACCTGGTAAGATGCTTTATATCATTTCTAGAAGGGAGCAGAATATGTCTGGCAACTGTTCCTGCCCTTGATTAACATGGTTTGATACAAGGGCTTGAATTTAAACATGAAAACTGAAAACTATTCAAGATATGCAAATAAGTTACTTTTTTTTGTCCATTCACAAACCTGTACATGTTCCAAAATAAGGCTAAATTTAAAGGTTTAAGACTACAATAATTCTATATCAATATTTCTTTTTATTACAGCATGTTTGCTAGATTTACAGCAAGCAGAGAATAAGCTGGGTCTACACCTTGATCAAAACAGTGATGTTTTAAAGTCATACACAATATTTGTTAAAAAGAACATATAAAAATACCTTTTAAGAAGCCTCTATAAGAAAGGAAATACAAAGTTTATTTCCACAACTTTCCTCTGACCAGAGCTGCACTCTAATGCTACAGTTTTTAACAATACACTGTTCTCTCAAACTATACATCAGGGAAAAGTCTACAAAATTAAAGGAATGCTGATATAAATGATTGCATAGCAGAACATGAACAACAATAACCAAAGTTAGAAATACTATCTAATATACAAAGATTCTAGAATCACCCTTAAACATGTCCAACAGCCAGTATTTTAAAAAGCCAGCTTTTGTTCAGAACGGCCATGCTGTATTTGCAAGTAGCCTTTCACCAACATTCATTGATCCTACTTAACAGAAGCAGAGGGACCATGAGCTGTCAGAAGCTGACTTTTTACATTTCAATAGCTTTGTGACGTTCATAATACAACATCATGCCATCTCCAGGAAATACTTGCGATTATGCCATGGCAATTTTTTTTCAATTTCAGTTTTAATGCAACAAATCAAAAGCAAAGGGTACAAACTGAAACCTGCTGCTTAAAGGAGGTTCTGAACTATAAATGCAAGCTGCCAGTTAGGATTAGAGGCCTGGTTGGAAATCGGTAGTGATGGGACACAAGCTACCTAATGAAGTCACTGGCATAAAATTTAGTTCTGACATACCATACATACTAATTAGAAGTTTACCTTGTGTCTATACAGCAAGAAGCCCTAAGCAATTTGTGGGCAACTGCTCACTAAAACTTGATATACCACACTGCATAAGTGTAAGCACATTTACCTAATTACTCAATGGAACACCCTCCACACATACACTTGTAGGGGTTCAAATATTAGGAGACACCTAACAATAACTTCTCATGGCTGATCTTAGACCACTTTGTTATACTACCAATACCTCAAAACTATATTTCCATTTGTTCCAGCAACCAGCCGTCTTGATACAAGTGAGTATGAAGAATACCAACCCTCTTCCTCCACTTTTGATCTAGAATTTGAAATGACCAGTTTATATTTGCTGTCAGTGTTGCATTATTGCTGCCCAATTTTCCACTTTTTCAGCAGGAAGTACTGAACAATTTAAATAACTTATGTTCATGGAACAGTTAGAAGAAACATTTTCTTTGTGGATGAACTTATAAGGGCAACACTGTAAACTATGGTCGTAATCAAGGTACCATCAATATTTGAAGCATAAAAATGCAAGTGTATTACAAAAATATACACAGACACCACAACAACGTCAGTAGTTGCCCATGACATTTAACGAAGTGGACTCTTGTATAAGATTCTCAATTCGTGTTTTAATTGTAATAGTTGCCTGCACAGTTGAGTGATACATGCCTAAAAAAACAAGATACACTTTTAGTGGCCACTGGACTTGGGACTAGCCCATGACCGGGATCTGGATTTTGATCTAGATCTAGAATGAGATCTTGACTGAGATTTGGATCTAGCTGGTTCTTTTTTCCTCACTTCTTTTTCGTATCTCGAGCTGGATTTATTGTGTGTCTTAGAATCCGTTTTAGAAGTGCCTCTAGATTTAGTACGAGACGCAGACCTAGAACGTGATTTGACCTTCATTTCTTTTTTGGGTAGTGACTTAGATCGCGATCTTGAATTGGACTTTGACCTTGAAAAAGATCGATTACGGTGTCTGAACCTATCAGAAAGAGGAAGATAACACATTTGAATATGGACAAGTTGCTAGGCGTTGCGCATCTCACATTAAAATGGCTTATCCTAGGCACACCAATCCAATTTTGAATTGGTTATATAAAAGAATCTTTACCTATCATTATCTGAACGACTTCCGCTACGGCGACGTCTTCCAGCAGGTCTACTGCTAAAAAGGTACATCAGAAAAAGTAAACAGTGGCATATACTTTTACAATTACACACGCACCTATTAAGAGGTTTCTTGAGATGCACTTTTTTTGTCTTCAATGGCACAGACTACTGTAGACAATGTTTGGCCAGATGATGCATGCAAGGCATAAAAAACTTCCATGCATGTAATTACAAACGAGACTGGATACTTAGAGGTGTCAGACAGGCAACATGATCTCTCTTCTCCTTTACACGGCAGCATAGGTCAAGCCAAGTACAACACTTACTTTCTAGGACTATAAGATCGGCGATAGTTGTAGTCGAAGGATCGGCTTCTTGAACGCCTCCTTTCATAACTGCGGCTTCTAGAACGCCTGTATCTGTCATAGTCATCGTAACGTGAAGAGCTGTACAAATTTCTTCCTTCCTTGGCTTTCATTTGGTTTGGTGCTGCAAAAAGTATTGAACACCTCTCTTAATGTTTACTGATTAATATTTGATACTGCAACATTTTTCAACTGGCTTCTGTAAAGCCAATTTGTTCCTTAATTAGCACATTTATATCCTACAGTTCCTCCTCAGAGCCAAGGATGGCTATCATGAAAACAAAACCAATTAAAATATGACAGTAGAGTTGACATATATAAAATCCACACACATAATCCCATCACAAAAACATCTGCTGAAATAAGGTGCAGAACCCCAAGCAGAACAACTTCATCACCTTACTGCGTACCATTATTTTGGAACTCAGCTCAGACAATTTGTTGGACCGTGAACAACTGAAGTTCTCTATAGATGAGACTGTTATGAGCTATGGTGCTACAGTCAGTAGCAAGGATCTCATTAATCACATATTTAACTGGTAAATTTTACACTAATATATTTTTTAGTTGTTTTGCAAAATTTCAGGTGACTGGGCACCTAAAAACTTGGTGCAACTGCAACACTGTCATTATTCTGAACCAGAGGACCTAAAATGTGGATTTAAAAAGCCATACAATGAAATGATTTTTCTACAAACCTGGAGAAAAAAATAAGCTATGGGAAGGGGATTAACCCCCCCATAACAGAAACAGCATTTCTAGCTTCAATAGAAGAATGTCCACTGAGATCTTGGGAGGCCATCTAGAGGGTTGCTAAGCAATCACAACTATATCACCAAGGCTTCCAAGCCTTGGTTTCTGTCAATAAAAAGTGGGAGAAAGGGGAAGGAGACTGAAAAAGGAGAAAGACGGGAAAGAAGGAGTACAGGAGAAGCTTGAACCAAAAAAGGTGATCAGGTAGGTGGGAGAGAAGAAATGGGGAGAAGCTGCCTGCAGGGGAGCAGATCATAGCTTGGTGGCTGGGTGGGAGAGAAAGCAGCAAGGAAATGGGAGAAGTTATAGGGAATGCCAGGGAGAGAAAAAAGGAAACCAAGTGGGAAGGGGGATACAGCAAGAAAATGAAATTTCCCCCATGAGTCCACTCTTCCCACTTGTGTGCCACAAATCTCTTCTAATCTGATTTTGTATTTCCGAGTCTGATTTTGCACTTGCAACTCAGATTATAATAAAAGGACAAAAAAAATCACTTACAATACATGTTCCCATTACACTCAAATGTTACTGTCTTCATGCTGTGTCTAGACAGAGGTAGCCATATATGGAGAGCTTTCTTCGTTCAAATATACCACACCCATCAATAAAGGTTCTGCAGCGGATTATGCAAATTGAGTCTAAATGGTTTATTCTGTACCGTTTAGGAACCAGGAAGAAGAATCGAAGGAAGCAGATTTTACTTAACCATCCACAGGCAAGCCAGAAGCCGTAGTGAACAGCAACTATGGGAGACTTACAGACATCTTTGTGCAGGGGTCAGAAGCCACATCTCAGCCTACTGCTTTTCTAAGTTTTTAGACACTGCTAACCACAGAGGTTATAAATAAAATACAAAGCTCTACAGTAAATACCACACCCCTACTTGTAGCCCCAAGTAATAAGTTTCAAGCCCCAATTATCTAAGGGTTACATTAATTGTGAACATGATGCACTTACTTTTCCGATCTCCTTGAGCAAACTGTATTTCTATCTGACGGCCACAAATCCACTTCCGATCCAAATTATGAAGGGCATCTTCGGCATCACGGACATCCTCAAATGTGCTAGATGTTAAGGTACTTGGGAATTTGAATTATTTACAGCGACACAATTAACAGACTCTGGCTTTCCCACGTCATCATACACCCTTGTTTTACAAACTCATTTTGGCATGTTCTATGGCATAACAAAAATTAGCTGACATTAACTATATACCTAATACATACTTTTAGACATAAGGCAAATTTCAACTAAAGAAAATGTATTATTTGTAAATGCCATATTCCTCCCATATATACTGGTATGCCAAGGAAGACTGGTTTCTCATCCTGAGAATCTGTTTTCCCCTTAAACTGAGACACCCACTGAGACATTTAAAGTGCTGCACTATGTTGATAAAGTTAGTACTAAAATGAATGTTCCCTAGACTTTTCTGCTCTGCTATTGGTTTAAAAGTTACACTAGTGTAAAGCTATATCCAAATCTATGATAAAGGCACATAGTGAAAAATTAAGCTTGGGTCAAATGTGACACCATGTACATTTCTCTACGACTCAAAACAGTTTAATTGCCCCTAGATATCTATATACCAGCTTCTAAGCAGAACCTAAATTTGATCCAACTGCAGATATACTCAAGTTAAGACTAACTGCATTTCAATCAGAACCATCATTTCAAAAGACACAACTAATTATTAAGCAAGTATTATAGGGCCTGTTGCTAGACTATATCAGAAAAATTGATTGGTTTACCACTTACACAAGCAAGAGGATAGCTCTTATTCTGTAGGATACATCAGGTATGGCTCCTTTAATCTTGGCCACCATTCAACTTCATCTTGACCTTTAACTCTTTAAGTGCTTGTCAGAAGGACTTGTCATGAGATGCTTGGTCAAAAATGACAGATGGCTTTATCTTTATACTTTGAAAAACAACCTTTTCCCCCATTTGTAGATAAAGCGAAGCTTTGTCTCCCATTATGGCTTGTCCTTCTTCCAGCTTTTCTTTATCTTTTCTTTTCCCAAACTTTCCCTTCTCTTCAAGCCTGATCCTTAAGAGGTCTTTGGCTTGTCTACTTGCCTTAATTCTTGAACTCTACTCTAAAGGTTCTTTCATGCTTTCTCTTTGGGGTCGCCATTACTGTACAGCTTTACACTCTGAGGCAACAACAGAGGACAGTAAATTAGGGGACAATAATCAGAGCAAAACGTTTCACCTCATTTTTGTACAAATCTGCTTTTGATCAAATTATTCCAGTTTCCATGAATTTAAACAATAAATATCAGCCACATTTTGCTAAGCTTAAGAACAAGTTTATCATCAATGCTAGTAATATTAAGATGCAAAGACACACTTTAAGCAGCAGCAAATGCCATTTATATAATATGCATCAATCTGAATATGAAGCTTGCAACAAAAAGCACATTTTGCTAGATATGGCTTAAATTTTGAGAAAATATAGCAATCTGTAACGTATTAATCTTTAGGGAAATGCAGCACACCACAATAAGACATATAACATACAACACAGAAGTAAACAGCTTTTTCATTTAGGTTTGTTACCTCATACACAAATGTGAATTTCATACTTCAACACCCCTCACTAATCAGCCATCTGAAGAAAGGATATTGAACATAAGCAAATCCTCTTGGTCGACGAGTGTAGAAATCCAGAGGAACGTACACATCAACGATAGGGCCATAACGACCAAATTCACGACGTAAGTCTTCAGACCTGAAAAAGACACTTAACATTTGTATATCTCCCCTAGTTATAGTACATGAAGTTCAGAAACAAAAGTTTAGTTGTATATATTGAGTCAATATTGTTAACATTTTATTTAATAACAAGCCTGGTTCTTAGCAGCTCAAGCCCCCCAGACATATTTTATGGAAGTTGAAGACAGTGGAACTCGTTTGTCTTAAAGATGCATTTAGTATCAGGAGTAAGGAGTTCTTTCATAATGAACAGATTTTAGATGGGTTCCAAGTCTATACTTAATCCTCCCTCAAGAATTCAGAATTACAAAAAGGCACAAGCCAGTGAACTAATAATAATTAAGCAGATGGGTGTAGAAAAGAAAACGATAACTAGTATAGCATAGCAACTAAGAAACAATGTAATCCTAAACAAACTTACACCCTTCTAAGACCATGGATTTAAAAGGGTGTAACTCTCTCTAGGACTGCACTGTAAACCAAGAAGTCCTTCGTTCAAATCCGTCCTCACCTAGAGAATTGTCTAGGTGGCCTTAGACAAGGCATTCTTCACTCACATGAAGCTGCCTTATACCCTTGGTCCATCAAAGTCAGTATTGTCTACTCAGACTGGCAGCTGCTCTCCAGGGTCTCAGGCTGAGGTCTTTCACATCACCTCCTACCTGATCCTTTTAACTGGAGATGCCGGAGATTGAACCTGGGACTTCTGCATGCCAAGCAGATGCTCTATCAGTGAGCCACAGCCCCTCCCTAACTCCTGTTCTGCAATACTGGTGTAATAATCCAAGTTGTTGTAAGGACTGAGATAACATATAAAGTATTTCAATCAAATACCACTACAGAAATAACACACTGCATTATATATAGCAATGCTGAAGACTACCCCCTTAGCCCTCCAAGTTTTACAGTCCTTACAAATCAAAGCAACTGAACACAGCCAAAAGTTCAGCTTCTCTGGATTGTTACAATTCCTGAATATGCACAATTTCTTGGGGACCAACACTTTTCAACACTAGGTTCAACATATCAGAGTATATTGTCTTCTGTAGTTTACCAAGATGATTCATAAGAAAAAGTGAAACCAGATGCAACTCAAAGGAGTGTGTGCTCCAAGCACTTGGCAGCTGCTTTAAATATTCATTTAATTAAAAAATCAAATAGGTGCATAAGGGAAAACTAACAGTTTTTTATGAGCAGTGATTATGTATTCTCAGAGTATTGGGGGGGGGGGGTTCTCACCCTCAATTACACCAAACTGTAGATAGTGCAACATAATGCAGAAAGGGACTTATGTGAAGTAGCTGGATGAAACAGCTATCCCACAAATTTAGGGCGATGCCATTTAATGAAAACTACTGCTATTTCTCAGTTTGGCGCTCAAGTTTACTGTTTTTATGATTACAAATTTGTGTCTTAATTATGCATTAACAAAGGTGATTAAATCTGAACAATGAACCTTTAATTAAAGACTATCAACCCTAACCCATAGTTTATGGAGCTACAGTGGCTCAAGTGGTTAAGACGCTAAACTGCAGGCTGTGGAAGGTCGGTAGTTCAGCAGTTCAAGACCCGAGTGCCGCATGACGGAGTGAACTCCTGTCTCTAGTTCCAGCTCCTGCCAACCTAGCAGTTCGAAAGCAAGAAACTGCAAGTAGATAAATAGGTACCACTTCGGTGGGAAGGTAACAGCGTTCTGTGCGCCTCTGTGTTTAGTCATGCTGGCCACATGACCACGGAAACGTCTTCGCACAGCGCTGGCTCTTCGGCTTTGAAACGGAGATGAGCACCGCAACCCTAGAGTTGGATTCGACTGGCTTTCGCGCAAGGGAACCTTTACCTTTTATCCATAGTTTAAAAACTCTGCACATAGGCATGAGTCATATGTTGCCATTTCCTATAAACACACATCATAATATACATGGCTGCAACCCTAAGAACACTTTCCTGGGAGTAAACTCACTGAATGTGACTTACTTCCAAGTTTAGGATTGCTCCTTTTAGCCATTTCCACATGGGCTATCTGCTATAGGTTTAATGATGCCGAGAATTTTTTCCCCTGCTTCTCCAAAGCATCATGGTACTTTCATGCACTTTCCAGGGTTTCCCTGACTTTTCTCCCATCTTTTTCAAATCTATTTTGCTGCAAAATTTTGGGAAAGACTGCAGTAAAACCAGGGTTGGCTGCTGTATGGGTGGGGATTTTCCCTGATATAGCCCCATGGTCTAAAAGGATAATTTCATATTGTCTTACTGTTATAGCAGTAAGTGTAACAGGTTATATTAATTCCTAGCTTTTATTTTTAAAAAGCAAGTCTCTATCCCTTTCTATTGCAGAGATATAAGGGGAAAGGCATGTCTCTGCAACAGAAAACTCTAGAGACTTACTTTAAAGAAATAAGATTTCACAGAACCTGTTAAGCTTATTGTTATTATAATATGTTGATATAAAAATACGAAATTTGCCAATTTAAAAGCTCTAGTGGTGGTGGGGGGGGGGAGAGAAATGGTTGTTGCTGGGAAAGCCCCATTGCTACTGCACTTTACCAGGAACAGGGAAACCACACAAGCCTTTCCCCATGAGGAAAACATCTTAATGTGTTTCTCCGTACTGTGCATACAGCAATCAGGCAGTCTCCAAACATAGGAATTTCAAAAACAGTAAAACATTTTCACACAGTGAAATTAATATTTGGGAAGAAAAATATAATATAGGAAATAGCTCTCAGTAATCGGGAGGGGGAGGGACACTGGGAAAGAGATCTGGATTCTTCTACAACTGCTGATAGAGAACCTTAGTCTAAAGATGGAATAAAGTTAAGGAAAAGACTGGAGGAATACTATGTGATGCCAAAGAGAGGGGAGGTCTACAATTACCGAATCTGCGACTATATTATGAGGCAGTTTGTTTAACGTGGTTAGAACAATGGGTGACTTTGGATAACAAAAAACTATTAGCCTTGGAAGGACATGATTGCAGATTTGGTTGGCATGAGTACCTATGGTACGAAGAAACCAAAATGGACAAATTTTTTAAACATCATTTTGTAAGAAGATCTCTCTTTGGAGTATGGTCGAGATATAAAAGGTTTTTTCACGAAGTGAGACCACTTTGGATTGTACCAGAAGTTATTACACAATATACAAGACAAAGAGGTGAAGAATTATTGCCATACAGAGACTTGATAAAAAAGGAAGGGACAGAATGGGTAATGAAAGACCAGGATGAGATTCAATTTAAATATGTCTGGTTGGGCTATTTACAGATTAGAGATCTGTTTAGAGCAGATTAAAAAATGTATGGTTTTAGAGAAGAGAAAAATGAAATTGAATCTGTGTGGGAGAATAGAGGGAGAAAAATGATTTCTAACATGTATAAAATCCTGTTAAAATGGTATACAGAAGATGAGACGGTTAAAGAGCAAATGCTTAAATGGGCTCTTAATATGAATAAGGAGATAACCATGACATCTTGGGAATATTTGTGGA